ATATGGTTACATGTGTCTGTTAAAAATAAAGGGGATCAGTTCTTACATGATATATTTATATTTCTTATTTACAGATTTTGAGTACCTAGTGCTTCAGATTCCAAAACTTCCTTCTTTCTGTATCCCAAAGACCAGTTGTTTGTCTTCTGGGATGATAAAAAGAATGGGAGAGACTTAAAAGGAAAATCTCTGCCCAGTTGAAGCTCTTGGTGATAGATCCCCTGAGTACGATTCTACAGTCTAGCCATATTTTTGCTGTATAGGTCAAATGTTCATGGTTACACCATTGCTTTCTGATGCCTTTTGCTGAGCAGAAGTGCAGATATTTTTCTCTCAGAAGTTCACAGTTTGTATTACAAAGTCTTATGAAATGTGACTTGAAGTTTGTTTTATTTTTGAATATATGTGATGACTTTAAGAATTTTTTTTCCTTTTCTCCTTCCACTGGATGATTTAAAACACACAAAAATAAAGCAGACCAATGAAAAGAATTGAATGCTAACTTCAATTGAAAAGAAACAGCAACACTACTCTTGTGAGACAGTTTTCAACAGTGTTCAGCTTACTGATTCTGCTCAACCTTTCCTTTCCTGCCTGCTCCCTGACCCTCTGTGACACTGAAATATCCACTTCTAGGACAACCTTCTTCCTAACCAGAAGGCTAAAAGTTCTTCCCTCTCTTCTTCTCCCATTTAAAATATCATCCTTGCATCAGCCAGATCTACTGTTTAGAGGGATCAAAAGCTCTTTTCCTCCTGCCTTATTCCCATCCATATCCATATCCAGGGCCCTGAGTGCGCTGCTCTCCAGTGAGAGGTAAAACTGAAATCCCTAAATCTGATACTTGGCACAGTAACACCATCTCTAGACCACCCAAAACCTGAGGATTTTTTAAGTCTGTCATATCCTAATGAAGTAGCTATGCCTGTTTACTGAAGCGAATAATCAATCATTTGGGAGATGATTCTAATTGCTGAAAAGTAACATTGCTCTGACTCACGTTGTGGAAGCCTAGGAGCCAGGCTGAGGTATTTCACTAACATAAATACCACAGGCTATATAACTAATCCTTACTTTGGTGAAACTTCAAAGGAAAGGACGCTAAATTAACATGATACAGTGCAGTCTGTGCTTTCTTAGGAAAGCAAATGCAATGGAAGGCGTAGTAAGAAAACCTATTAGTATGATTCAAGTTTGGATTCTAGTACAGATCCAAAAATCGAACTATTCTGCTGGCTTAGGCTAGTCATTTAATTTCTCTGTGCCTTAGTTTCATAGTAGTAGAAGTGGCAATAAAGGAGCTCTCAGGCTAAAATAGTTGATTATATGGTACTTTAAGGTCTTCGGTCTGAGGGAGTAATGTATTAAAAACTGATGAACCTCATTTGTGACCAAAGTTGGAGACGGTTCTAAAACTAGCACTCTAAACTTCAGAAGATCTTGATTAAAGTTTTCCCTATATTTTATCTTCACGTCATATGGTAGGTCAGAATCCCAAATCCAAATGTTGACGTTCTCATTCAGATTTAGACTTTGCCTGTTTGGTCTGTTTCTGACCACAACTAAATACATCCCCAGACTGTGCAGTTATTAAAATGTAAAAGACATATAAAAGTTTCATTTAAACAAATGATGCAGTTATTAATGCTAATCTAATAATCCAAGAGTGTGAATAAACTAAGATGTGATTACTTAAGAAGAATAGGCATAAAAGAGCACTTCTGGAGTACTTGTTATTGTCCAAAATATCACTGAAAATCTGATGACTAAGTACAGTCTGCTTATCTCTATTTGAAACAGTGCTGTACAGATTCATTATTTCTAAAGGTCTTCTTTCCATTTCTATATAGATATTCTTCCTTCACATTTTGAAGGTTTGAAGAAGAGGATTGTTTTTCGAGTCACACTAAGTAAACATTAAATGCATGCAGGCTTAAAATTAAAGCATGCATGTTATGTAGCAGCAATAAAAAGTGCTCGGCTTGCACGATTTATGATGCTCAAGCGTTGCCTTGTTAAAATGCCAAAAAAACTTTTTCTTTGCATTTTTTTGAAACGTAAATCTCTTCCTTTGACCTTGCAATACTTACATTTTCAGTTTTTGGACAAATGATATTTATTTTACTGAATACTTTTATATTACAGATAAGGTGGATGAAATAGTACCAGTTTCCAAGCCATCAAGAATTGCAGACAATGCAACTGTGGACTCAAGAGTGGCAACTATTAAACAGCGGCCTTCTAGTAGATGTTTTCCCTCAGCTACAGATATGAATGTGAGTGGTATGAAGTACTGCTTTCTCTTCTGGAACTGATTGGAGGGGGTGTTTTGGCAGCGTGTGAGGCGTACAACAGAAATGAATTCACAAACATTGCTTTATATGCTCATTTTTCTTTTATTAACTTGTAACTTTAAGGTGTGGTCTGCTCTGTGTTTCTAATAATAGGTTTTTAACAGAAGAGTCTATGTACCTCTATAAAACTTTTTTCATTATGTACTTATATTCATTCTGAGACCATCACATCAACAACATTGCTATCTCAGTGTTATTCAAACAGACGTGAACTTGTTCTGGCTGTAATCTGAGCTGGCGACACACCAGTTAAGTTCTGAACTTGGAGGTGTCAGTACAACACTAAACCCAAGCTAAAAAATTTGCTGAAAGTCAAGGTATGCTATTTCAGTTTCAACACGAGAGTTAGTGCAGCAACACAATTTCCACTAATGTGAAGGTTTCTCCTACTGCAGGTTTTCATTACTCCTAATGGCCTATATAATATCTTGATTAAATAATGCATGATGATTTGTAAGGGAAGAATTGACATTAATACTGTAGCACGTATTAAAAATTTAAACTCCAGAATTTTGAAATTGGATTACTCAGTTGCAGAAATTTGCTCTTGCAGAACTTTGCATGAGAAAAAATGATTGGTTTTATTGCATTTTAGATGTCGTTTTCCATTACCCACCCCTCTGAAAGATCATCAGTCCTGATACAACAAGCACTTGAGTGTTCTCAGAAGCTTGGGATAGAAGGAAATTAAGGCAGTTCTAAGAGTCAGAAAACAAATAGTTTTGTTATGAACTGCAAGAAGGAGGGACAGTCGAGTGCATTGGGGTTCAGGTGACGTTCCTCAGTTCCTAGCTGAGATGCTGAGTGCCAGCGTAACCTTGTGCAAGACTCCTTGAGTCTGCGCAAGGCTCCAAGAATAGGTCTGTTCTTCAGAAGGGAAGAGAGCATACAGCTCGGTGCAGAGTGAACGTTAATACCTGTACAGCGTGTGGCAAGGTTTTCAGAAGTGAATGAAAGAACATGCAATTGGTCGTGCTTCGTTTTTCTTCCAGCACACAAAATGTGCTGGAAATTTAACATATTGTCTTGTAAATAATTTCAACTAACTCCACTTACAGCTCTTTTCATTTTATGAACATGTAAACAAAGTCCATCTTTCCCTTTCTCTTCACCTCCTCCCCAAAATAATAACAAATTTGTAATTTTCCATAAGAATTCTAGGTAAAAGGGATAGTGGATTACCAGATATGACAGAAGAGCTATTTACATGTGAGAGAAAGTCTTGCATGCTTTAATGCTTGTGGGGTTTTTTGTTTGCTTTTTTGTAGTCCATGTATGAGAGACAGGGTATTGCTGTGATGACGCCCACTGTACCAGGGAGTCCTCAAGGTCCTTTTCTGGGTATACCTCGGGGTACAATGAGAAGACAAAAATCTATAGGTAAAATGCTTCTCATGTATAGTTTGCTTGTGCATTAACCACATACTTTTAGTTAACTTTGCTTCTTTCTTAAAGCGTATTTCTTCAGCATCTTTACCTCAGTGAAATACTGTTTAAATTTTATACAAAGTTCATGGAAAAAGAAGTTTGTGTGTAAGATGCTGTAATTTCCACTTTCTGCTTTGATGGCGGTAGGCAAGTATTATGGAATTATAATTTAATTCCTTTCTTTAGAACGTTCCATCTAACAAAGAAAGGCAGTGAGAAGGGGAAAAAAAAAAAGATCAGTACAAGCCCTTTGCAATGCATTACCTAGGCCAAAATGTCATTAATTTTTTCTTTGTTATTGAGGCAAAAGCGTTTTAATGCTGTATATTTTACAAAGGAATCCCTAATGATCAAATGGAATAAATTCACCTCTTTTTCATTCCAAATGATGACAACAGATGATTTTACAAAAGAGAAATAAGAGCAGACCAAATTTGGGCTTGCTTTGTTCTTGGTAGTAATCTTAGTAGTGCTATTTATCAATTTAGAAATGCATTATGCTGATGTAAAATTAACATCTAAATCACCCCAATATTATCCAGTTTATTTACGTTAAAACCTGTATTTGTAATAATATAATGTCATCTTTTGAAATGAAACATGATGATTTTTTTCCCCAATAGAGTCGTCACAGTCCCTTTGCTAAGTTTCAAATGCATCTTAAAAATTCATTAGATTTCTAAGTTGCATTATTGTATGCATTTAGAGAGTGCTAAAGCAAGGCATAAGCTACTCTTCTGCACAGAATGCCTTCCCTGTTCAATAATTTTCAAAGAAAATGTGCTTCTCTACAGCTACCTTGATGATACATAAAACCAAAACATTTGCCTACGCTTCTGTGAACTATTTAATTAAAATTCTGTAGCATCCTTTTTAATTCTGGCATATGGGTCTCTGGAAGTTCAACAACAAAAAATGCTTATGGTAGGAATCAACCTAAAGACCTCTTGCCTAATTTCGCATATGCTTCATGCCCTGTGAAATGCACCCTGACATTTCAGATGGGTTACAGAAATAATACAATATGAGGGATCCCAGTGGAAGACAGTGTTTAAAATATACTTTCTGATTTTTAGGAATAACAGAGGAAGAACGGCAGTTTTTGGCTCCTCCTATGCTGAAGTTTACCAGAAGTCTTTCAATGCCTGACACCTCTGAAGATATACCACCACCACCACAGTCCTTACCTCCTTCACCACCACCACCTTCTCCCGCTCTGTACAACTCTCCCAAATCCCCGACATCGAGGAGCTATGGAACTATTAAACCTCCATTTAATCAGAATTCAGGTTCAAAAATTTCTTTGGTTAGGCCTGAGAATGTGGGAACAATGATAAGGGACAAAGGGATCTATTACAGACGAGAACTGGACCGATACTCTCTGGACTCTGAAGACCTGTACAGTCGGAGTGTCTCATCTCAGGCAAATTTCAGGAAGAGGGGCCAGATGCCAGAAAATCCATATTCTGAGGTTGGGAAGATTGCAAGCAAAGCAGTTTACGTGCCAGCCAAACCAGCGAGGCGGAAGGGGATGCTGGTGAAACAATCCAATGTTGAAGACAGTCCAGAAAAGACCTGCTCTATTCCAATCCCGACAATTATTGTGAAAGAGCCATCCACCAGCAGCAGTGGGAAAAGCAGCCAAGGGAGCAGCATGGAAATCGATCCTCAGTCTTCAGAACAACCTGGGCAACTCCGACCCGACGACAGCTTGGGTGTCAGCAGTCCGTTTGCAGCAGCCATTGCTGGAGCCGTGAGGGACAGGGAAAAGAGGCTGGAAGCAAGGCGTAATTCTCCAGCCTTCCTTTCCACAGACCTAGGAGATGAGGATGTTGGACTAACACCACCAACACCACGTATGAGGCAATCTAAATTCACCGATGAAGCGTTGTTTAGTAGTGAAGATGGTTTTAGGCAGCTTATGTCACCATCTCCGATTCCCGCACCTAGAGAGCCTGAAAATCTTTTTAATAGCAGTGAACCCAGCAATCAAAGTGATTCAAGGACATTAAACGCTTCATCCAAAACGAAAGGTACTGAAAACAGTACAGTGGCAGCTAAGCCCACGAATGCATTCAGCTCAGATAACTACGTTCACCCAGTCACAGGAAAGCTATTAGATCCAAACTCACCGCTAGCCCTCGCTCTCTCTGCCAGGGACAGAGCCATGAAAGAACAAACACAGCAGATTCCAGGCAAAGGAGACACTGTTAAAGCTGACCTTAATAAACCACTTTACATCGATACAAAGCTGAGACCCAATATTGAAACAACTTTTCCTGTTACTGCTACGGTCACTAGGCAAAATACTCGTGGTCCATTGAGACGGCAGGAGACCGAGAACAAGTATGAAACAGATGCAGGGAAAGAAAAGAAAGCTGAGGAGAAGAAAAACATGTTGATAAACATTGTGGATACTTCGCAGCAAAAGTCAGCTGGCTTGTTAATGGTTCATACTGTGGACACAGCAAAGTCGGATGATACACCTGAAGATGAAGAGGAAAAGAGTGCTGAAATGGAACCAAGCCCTGAAAACTCCCCACCAGAGAGGCCAGAGGGGAGCGAGGAAGCAGAAAGTGAGCTGAACGTGCCTGCTGCACCTGAGCCTCCGGCATCTCCCTGCAAAACCATCGTAGCAGCAAGCTCTGTTGACGACCCTGTCATCTTGCCGTTCCGCATCCCTCCACCACCCTTAGCATCAGTTGATATTGATGAAGAGTTTATTTTTACTGAGCCACTGCCACCCCCCTTAGAGTTTGCCAACAGCTTTGATATCCCCGATGACCGTGCAGCTCCCGGTTCAGCTCTAACAGACTTGATTAAGCAAAGGAAAAATGGCACGCCTTCACCTGCGCCGTTTGCCCCCAGCCAGTCAACAAATTCCTTAGACAGTAAAAAGCAAGTGGGTCTTTCAAACTGTTTGCCTGCCTCCTTTCTGCCACCCCCTGACAGTTTTGATAATGTCACTGACTCTGGGATTGAGGAGGTAGACAGTCGAAGTAGTAGTGACCATCACTTAGAGACAACCAGCACTATCTCAACGGTGTCCAGCATCTCCACCTTATCCTCGGAAGGGGGTGAGAACATGGATACTTGTACAGTCTATGCAGATGGGCAAACATTTCTGGTGGACAAACCCCCAGTACCTCCTAAGCCAAAAATGAAGCCCATAATAAACAAAAGCAATGCACTTTACAAGGACACGCTAATTGAAGAAACTGTAGACAGCTTTGTTATTCCTCCTCCCGCTCCGCCCCCACCTCCGATCAGTGCACAGCCCAATATGGCTAAAGTTGTTCCCCAAAGGACATCTAAGCTATGGGGTGATGTGACAGAGGTGAAAAGCCCAATTCTCTCAGGCCCAAAGGCTAATGTTATTAGTGAATTGAACTCTATACTCCAGCAAATGAACAGAGAGAAATCCTCAAAGCCAGGCGAAGGATTGGAGTCACCTACTGGAACAAAAACTGCAAGTCTCAGTACAAGGTAAATGTAATTAACCAAATCATTTTCTAATAAAGACTTGATTTTTTTCCATCCCTTCACTAACTTCCCCTGTAAATCACATAGATTAAAGAAGAATGTACACATTTGCTTAATGAATAATCTATGACAAACAGTTTTACAGAGGGGAAGAATTTCCTACGTTGCCAACACGTGTGTAGCCTACACCATAGGACACGAGCTTTCTCAGTCTTCTCCAACTTCAAAGACAGTTTCAACAAATTTAAGTTTTTTTGTTGTCAGTTACTTGGCTTTATTTTCAAGAAGCATTTTTCTCTTAAAAAAAAAAATCTTTTAAAATGTGGTGATAATTTAATTTTTCTTCAGTCTCATAACTTATTTTGGCTTCAAACAGGTAAAAAAAAGTGGTTTTGCCTAGGCTTACTTCACATTCACTGTGCGATGCCATTTGATTCCTGAAACCGCTCATAATCCCTTTTTTCACAAAGTATAAAGCTATCTTAGAAAATCACTCACTGAAATCACTTTGAACTATTCATGTTATTACTAAAAGGTTAATTTAGCAGCTCTGCTACTTAGTATTATGGATTTTAAGTTCTTACTTTCTGTTGCGCATGCTTGTTAGTGAGTAGACTGATGTTTACAAGCTCAAGGAGGTGGCTTATTTCTCCCAACAGCAGTATCCCTGGTAGTGCAGTGCGATATGTTGGCATACGAGTGTTTTCTGAAAAGTACTTAAGTGATAAGTAATTTACAGTAGTCAGACACCATTGGGAAAATGTACAGGTAATTGTGTTTTCACATTTGTGGGGAATATGGATATAATATAATGAAATCCACAATTACAAATTAAAAAAAAAAAAAACGTAGTTTTGTTAGTGTTATTGATAGCCTGATGTATTTCTTTGTGTGGACTGGAATGGTTTGATCTTACATACAGCAGTTAAATGTACCTTTTTCTGAAGTATTACATATTGTTTGACCTAGACTGGTCCATAGAAATGCATTTTTTGCAGAAATGCAGTGCTGACTTTGTTTTTAAAAAGAGATATCACCTAAGTAAATTTTATTAGAGTTATTCTACTGGATAATAAATAACTTGGCCTTTGAAAAGCTAACGTGCTTTGCATGCATGAAGATAATTTGGTTTTAGGGGAAGGGTGGCTCTGTTAATTGCAAATGGTTGCTCAATCAGAAAAGAATGTGATCAAAAGCCTCAGTGTCACGTAGTTACCTTATTTCTTGCAAAATGAAGTCATCAAACTGGTGACAGGGAGGTATGGAGGTTAAACAATTTGTAGAATGAGGAGACAGAAGAAAAACACTGAAATAGTGGAATTTCTGTTAGTGGCACTTGACTAAATGGAGTAGAAATTGAGTTGTCTGTACAGGAAAAGCCTTAATACATGACAAAAAATGCAATGAAAACTGTACCAGAAAAACAATATATACTGGCTGCCTGATGAAGACAGTCTTTAAACAAAGTTAGCACTGCAACTGAACACCACACATTTGAGAATACCTCAGGCAAGCATAAAATCAATACTTGTGCACTAAACTTGAATTTACATAAGTCTTGCCTTGCAGATGACTCTGAGAGTTTCATTTCATATTATTTTTCTTGGTTTCAAGAATGCTATTTTTTCTAGGCCTTGATCATCTTTCTTGTTAAGCCATATGATCATATTGCCTCTAGCTTCATATGTATAATATTATTTATAATCTTTTATATTTAAACTGATAGTTATTTTCAAGTTACAGTAGAGATCTTTAGCATCCCTATTTTATTAGAAAATAACTGAAGCTTGCAACTACAATGTACTATAAATATGTCAAACTATTATCATTACTGAGAGAAAAATGAAAAGTAGAAGCAAATGGAGACACATTTTTTATGTGAAAAGACATTTAAACAGGTATAAAAACTGGAAAAAAAATTGTAAAACTACTGTATCACTTCACTGGAGAAAAGCAAACTATCATGAAGCACGAGTAGTCCTGTATATTTTTACATTTTAGATAAAGATCTGACTTGGACAGTGTTAAACAGTTATGTTGCCTTTCTGTCCTTTAACTTTTTTAATTATTATAACTCAGCTTTGGCAAATTACATAATTTTCATTATGGACTCAATTCAAAGACTCAATTTGGAAACAAAACCACACAAAGCATTATTTCAATGTGGCTGAAATCCTGCTTCTTTCCTGAAAAGCAAACCCAAACAGGTATCTTTGCAAACTAGAGAGAGGTTCTTGGGATAGAACAGTACCAAAAGACCTATGAGATAATAAATAAGAAAAGTTGACAGTGGCGTAAAGCAGCAAAAATCTTGGCTGCTGTTTGACTGTGAGAAAAAAACCTCCACAGAATTCCTGGTGGGAACAGAAGGTAAGAGGGCTATCTTTTGTTTCCTTGTGTTTTCAAATTTGATGTGATTACATTATTTTTTTCACTGAGGTGAACTGAAGATACTAAAACGATCAGAAAAAAATTACTCAGGTTTTCTTTTTCAAGCCAAGCAATAAACTAGAGATAGCAGAAGAGAGACAACTATCTACAGATATTAAACGTCCATTTTAAAAGGTGCTGCAGATAATTCCTTTTCATCTTAACAAGACTGCAATAGAGAGACGTAAATGGAGAAGTTCCTTTGTAAATTCAGAAGTCCCACTTGTAAACCAGGGGTGGTTTATTAGGTGATGTCTGCCTGGCTGAGCCTGTGCCCAGCTCCCAACTGCCCCTGGAGCAAGGCTGGCACCTTCCCCTCTCTCTGACCTTAACTGGCTCCACATTCGGGGGAAGTAGATGAGAGAAGATAGGATTGATTTCTGAGCTTGATAAGGACTGTGAAAGAAAAAGCAAAAGGCTAATAGCAAAATGTATCACAGTGGAGAAAATGCTCTGATTTCTGTTTGTTGTGCTATGTACTTATATACCCTGAATTGTCTGCATTAAATTTCAGTTCCCTTCTCAAAGGTATCTGCATAAAAGTGATGGGTGCATGGCAAATGCTTCCCTGTATAAAGGCATGGGGTTTTTTTACTGCTTTTACACATGCCTAATCTTTTAAAAAATTAAATAAATTACAGCCTTTCTAGCCCAATTGCATGACTGACACATTTTTTTACAAAACTGTCAAATATTATGACCAAGGAATACCATCTTGCCAAAATTCCAAGTATTAAATCTAATATTTAAATTTTAAAGCTAAAATTCTTAGCGTTTCTTGATTTTTTTCCTAGTACTGTAAAGCCTAGAACAACTGATTGTGGAGCTTGTAGCCCTTTTCTGTGAGGTAGCATTAGAAAAGGAGCAAGGAATTTTAGCTCACGGAAAGCAGGGTTTCTGCTAAACTAGAGAACAACTCATTAGTTCTGCTAAAGAAAAAATGATAAAAAATGAGTAAGCCTGTTCATATCCTTCAGCCAAAGAGAAGTATTGGGAATGTTATAAAAAGGAACATTGTTCACAGGCTCACTTGGGTTATGTTCACAGCACTAGCAGCCTGATGAAATTAAAAATATATATTTGCTCATTGGGACATATATGAAGTTATTGCCCAGACAGCAATTCTGCATATCACTAGGAGTTACTTCTGCACAGCCAGGAGACATGCAATTGTAGTTCTCTCACAGCAATTGCCCCTGTAGAGTAGCATAGAGGTGAATTAACTTGTAGATAGTTGGGTAATGGCTTGCTGCAAAACCCCATAAAAAATATCTTCTTTTTATATTTTTGATAAATAAGGATTGGGAAGAGATCATTCTACAGTACTGAGCAGCATTTCTCTCTCAATTATCACATTAAAAAACAACCCTAGGCTTGCTTTTTTTCCTCGGCACATGGGTTTAGCAATAATTTTACACTGTGTATTTATAGTTTTCTGTGGTTCTTACGAAGATACTGAGTTTCAAGACTTTTAAATAGAGCGTGGAAACATTTGGCTGGAAACCATCTGCTTCTCAGTGCCAATGACCAGCCATGGGATAGGAAAGAGGAGACTGGTAGGGGAAGGAAAAAGAGGAAGAAGTGAAAGGATGTGCTTACTTACTTTGTACTAATAAAAGCACAATTAAAAAGTTTGAGGAGAAGGTTTAGACCAGAGCTAATCCCCCTCGCAATTTTAGCCATCATTTACTTTGTGAAATTTTGGAGATCAATCCTGGTGACAGAGTTTCTTATCTGGTCTATCCCTGTAGTCAGGCCACAACATCCGACTACCACTTATTCCATTTTTGCCCATCCTTCCTTACAGAAAAGGCTGAGTGTGTTTGGATACAGGGCTCCATTTAACTCACATACTCAGCACTATAGCCCTAATGATGAGCTTTGGTCACGATTCCCATTCCCGAATTTGGATGCACGCAGGTACAGAGATGGGAAAGCCCATCCTGGGGCAGCCCCTGTGGCTTGGCAGGTGATGCTCTGCTCTCAGCGAGCGGGGCGAGGAGGACAGGAGGCGTTAACGGCAGTATCGACCATGATGCTATAAATATAGCTGTGCTATAAGTTCACTTGAGAGGCTACTGACTTTTATATCGAGATGGTGCAAGAAATCGGGAGAAGACGAAGGCAGGGGTTTTTATCAGGTTAAGGGAGGAGTGCTCACTCCGTCTGTGAACCCAGCAGTCGCTTAGCAACATAATGATCAAGCGTAAGCCTGCGAGATTGACTGAATAATGTCAGCGGGCTTAATGCAGAATAGACCCAGTGGCTGCGAAGGAGAAGAAACACAGCCCCCAGTGGAAACAGCATCCTTCCACCACCACTCCCGTGTACTCATATGGAACAATGAACAGCAACTGCTGCTGCTCTCTACATCAGCAGGCCAAAATAATCCATAGCTTTGCCATAGGGAGAAATAATTTCTGTTCAGACGGTGCTTGTGTTTCTCTGACTGGGTTTGAACAGTGTCCCTATGGCCTCAGGGACAAGTTGGGCGTCATTCCTGGTAGGCAGAAATGCTCATTATAAATGTGGGAGTTAAGGAGGGTGCTTAACCATGCAGGATCGAGTCCTCT